TTCCAGCCCAGCAGTAACTGACAGCACTGAACTTTGAGCAGGGAATCTGATTATCTTGTCTCCTCTGTACTTTGTCAGAGGGACGGGGGGTGGACTTGTTTACTGCTTCCACGAGGGGCTCTTGTTCAGAACTCCCTCTCCCCTTCCTCCCCATGTTGAACGTTTATCTCTAACTGGAGGCTTTGAGGCACTGAAGTAAGACATTGCTGACATTTTCAGTGCCATCCAGTGGGCTCTGGTGTCATGCCAACCGCGTACATAATGGGCTCAGGCTGTGGTGATCGCTAGGGGTTTGCTTTGGCTGACTTTTGGAAGTAGATCACCAGGCCTTTCTTCCTAGTCTTAGCTTGGGAGCACCTCTGGGCATCATAGAAACACGTGGGCCTTCACAGGAGGATGGGTTGTGGCTGTGAAACAGTTGAGAGGCACACTGGGGTCTCCAGGCTGGAAAGCGAGGATTCTATCACCAAAGCCCCTATTGAGAAGCAACTTAGTGGGTTAAAGGACCCACTAGGCCACGTTCACATCTCGCCCCGCTCTCTACCATCTACATGATGCTTAAATCCCTCTAGATCATATTCTCATCCCTCGGCCAGGTAGAGCTTTCTGCTCCCTTAAAGAAGGACAGTCTTGGAAACTTCACGGGGATAGTTCTACCCTGTCCTATAGGGTTGCCGTGAGTCGGCATTGACGCTATGGCAGTGACTTTGACTCTTTTGGAAGCAGGAGCCTTGGTGACGTGATAGTTAACTGCTTGCCTGCGAACCCAAAGGCCAGTAGTTCAAACCTACCTAGGAGCTCTGCTCTCGAGCTTAACCCAAACCAAACTCACTGAGAGTCAGTCGATGCCGACTCACTGCTACCTTATAGGACAGGGTAGAGCTGCTCTTGTGGGTTCCTGAGACGGTAACTCTTCTCGGAAGTAGGAAGCCTCGACTTTCTCCTGCAGAGTGGTTGCTGGTTTTGCACTGAGGGCCGTGCGGTTAGCATCAATGGGTCCCATGGACATCCAGAGTTTACACAGACTTGAGGACACACAACAGCCACTGGATGCTAATAGCAGACTCTCTCCAGACACAGTGGTGAATGAATGGACTGAAACCCTCCAACCCAGCTAGGCATGCACCTTCCTTCCCCAGAGGAGCCCTCTGAGGCCCACGCTCCGAGCTGGATTAAGCTTGACCTTACAGTCCATGACCTGCCTGTGCACAACTTATCTGCCCACCCCCCCCCAAAGCACCATGCCTGGCACATGCTTGCTGGGCGATTATTACTGAGTGGGGGTGGCCCAGTCGTCACCACCTTCCTGAGGCCTGCTGGACCAAACCTCCTCCACGACCCCTCATTGCAGGCACTCTGCTCTGTCTTAATTGCCCACGAGTGTGCTTCAGTTTCATGTTGTGATTCTTGGAGCTCCTAACCCAGTTCTTGTTCTGCTCTGGATCTTGGCTGAGCGCAGAGCCGGCTTCAGAAGTGCCCAGTGTGTGCGGGTCTGCACTCCAGCCCTGAGGATAGGCATGTGCGGCTGCACCTCGGTCAAGCTCCATCAGAGGCTGTTGCCTGCTTCCCCGTGTGCATCTTCCTGATGAACAGAGACCCTTGCCCTTCTTTGCTACCCCAGCACGCCAACCAGGGACTGGCAGACCCGAGTCAAGACAGAGGAGAGATGCTTCCTGGTACCTCGTGCCCCAGCTTCTCCCGCTGCACCTCAGCTACTCCCTGATGAGGCAGGGGGACCCCTGGAAAAACAGAGCAGCTTCCAAGGCTGCTGGGGAGGCGTCTGGCTCATTTTCTTCTTCCTCTTGAGTTGTGGTCACTCAGGAGGCTGTCTGGAGACAGAGCCGAGAGCCACTGGGCTGAATCTCTAGCTATATTTGCCTAAACTCTTCCTGCATTGGGGACAGGGGCTGGGGGATACAGTTACTCAGTCAATGAGGCATGAGTCTCAGCCTTTGTCATCTCCATCTTCCCAGGCAGCCATTGGCTTCTAATTGCCTTTGGGGGTGGTAGCGATGGGGGGTGGAAGGGGCGGAGGTGCACTTATCACTGGTTTTGAGACACAGCATGATTTCATTAGTCTGAGTGGCTACTGGGCAGGCCCTTATCGATTAGCCTTTTAGGGACAGTGGGAGTTATGTGGCAATAAACCCGGGATGGCTGGTTCCTAACTGCTGGCTGCCGAGAGGCCTGCAGTTGCTGACATCTGAGAAGTGAGCTCAAGCATCAAGC